TGTTGAACAATAGCTTTAACATTGCTCATGCTGGAATTTGGTTGTGTACGGGGAATTTGGAAATTGTCTGCCCGCTTTTAAGTTTTCACACGAGATTTTAAAAAAAGTAGACATTTGTAGAGATCCTCGAGAAACAGTTAGTTTCTGTAGTAATTGTTAAGTAGCACCTGATTGTAACCTTTATAGTAAGTAGTTTATCCGCTTTTACAACGAATGTGGCTCGAAACGTTCATTGGACAATTTCTGCGACGGTTACGCCCTACTCGGAGGCTTCTCCAACTTCATTATATGCATTTTTTGGCGGTAGATATTTATATCTGATGTGGTTCATTGGTTGTTAATATGTTGATATGTGCTTTGCCATTTCAGACGCACAACTCGGAGTGTTCGTTGTCCACAAGGACCTAGCCCCAGACCTTCCCCAGCAATGCGCTTCATCAAATTTCACCTGCTACCTTTCTCTTGGACCACCTTTTGCTCCGCATAAAATGTCTGCACCTGAAAACTCAAACTTTCTGCCACAATCCAAAACAGCTCCTTTCAATGCTGGGAAGAAGATTAATCATTCGGATCACCATGATTTCCAGTCCTCTCGTATCGACCAAGTTTTACTTATCAACACAAGCAGTGCTTCTAGAAATAATGTCCGCTTCCTCGAACTACTAGGCCTTGATAGATCCGCAGCAGCAGCAGCTCCTGATCACAATTCCGCATCATCTTCCAACTTGCCCGTGCTCCCCTCCGGATCAACGCACAACCCCCAGCAAGTCCTTTCTTCTCCAAGTCCTCGGCTTAGCCTCGTGTCTTCGCGAGTTCGATATGATAACACTTCTACGGTTCTTCACGCGAAACTAGACAACGTCGGGCCTGGCAGTAGTTCGGAGGATGCCTTGCTCAATCGATCATCTGTGCTTTTTGTTGCCGTCTCCTTCATTCTGCTGATGATTATCAGCCTAGGTTGGCTGATATTCTACTACATCCAGCGTTTCCGATACCTGCACAGCAAGGAACGTGCCTCCGTAAGTGCCTGATTATCTCCTTACTAGTGTATTTCGTTGAAGTGAAACAAGACTGTATTACTGATTAAATTTTGTCGTAGGCGGTGCTTTCGTAGGTTATACTTCAAGTGTAACCACAGGTTTTTGGGGGCCTTTTGTTTGATAAACATTCAAATATGCGTAGTCTTTGTGTTGACTCCTTTTTAATTCAAAATTTTCCCTCTAAATCAGATTGTACTACTGCTTTCATCTTACGCAGCGACCGCACACGCCTTCGGCACCATTTGATAGCCTTCGCCGTTGTATTGACTAAAGCTGCGACCACGTGCGTTAGTCTGCACCACGCTAGCCTCTTTGTTGGACTTGCCATTAGTGACAAGGGAGCCGACGCAGGATGTATTTAGTACAGTAGAGTTGGTGCACTTTACGCGAAATAACTGTACTGCCAAAGTGAAGGGAGACTGGAATGGCGGCCAGTTTTGGTCCACTAGCAGTCTCACCAGCCTGTCATACTCAACCCAGGGTGTTGCAATTCATGGGGCTCGAACCCACAACCAACGCCCTAACCATTGTGCCACGGGCTCGTTGGCCTATCAGTTGTGATAAGGTATATTAGCAGTAGTAGTGGAGCACCGCTCGCCCGGTTGTCTTTCCAATCGGCCCAGGTGAAGATGTGAAAGCGGGTAGGTTCATATTCCCATCTGTTATGCTCATTGCCAAAATAGGATGCATATCTTATTACAGTAGTCGCCGGCTATTAAGCCCACGGCTAATAAGCCCAGCCGCG